TTACTAAAACAAAAAGTTTTCCAGCTGGCAAATGAAACCAAACTAAACTGTGGAAATCTACTGGATATCAAGCTTAAACCCTGTTTGTGTCTCCTCTGGTCCTCTGAAAAGACCTCACACAGTTTTATGTCCTACTGATTCTGGGAGTTTGGGTGCAAAGCAAGGACCAGATCCAGGTCCAGGTCCAGGAGCAGGCTTGTGTTTGTTACAGGAAACAGGAAGTCATCTCTTCTCCAGCAGCTGGACCAGCAGGAGTCTCTTCAGCGCCGGCAGCTTGTTGCTGTAATTGTCCTGCAGGACAGAGACCAGCTTCTGACGGAGGTTCTGGAGGCTCGGCAGCGACCCGCAGTCCTGCACGTTGAGCAGCGTGTGGAAGAAGTCCAACCACACGTCACTGTGGGGGACCCTGAGGAGACCAGACCTCGTTAGGGAAGCCTGAACTACAAACTGACGTCAGCTCATCATAAAGTTCTGATCAGTCCACTGCTGGGTTCTGAAAGACTGGACCTGCTGGACCTAAAACACGTTTTCTGTCAAACTGAGTGTGAACAGGACAGGCTAAAACTGAGACAAGTTTAAAGAAAAACTCTGAAAGTTCATCAGAGTTTGGACCTTTGAAAAAATAAAGAATCAAGGACTGGACCAGGACTTTTATTCTGAACAGAGACAAAGGGGTTACCTTCTAAAGTGTCCGTTTGTCCTCCACACTCCACCCTCGTTTGTGACCTTCATGTACGTCCCAAACATCAAGCAGTAAACTGTTCCTGCTATCCCAAAATAATCCGTCTGAAACACAGAAGACAAAAAGATTTTTACACAAAACATGAATAAACTGTCCCTGTCCCCCTGTCTGTCCCTGTCCCCCTGTCTGTCCCCGTCCACCAGTCTGTCCCTGTCCCCCTGTCTGTCCCCGTCCACCAGTCTGTCCCTGTCCCCCAGTCTGACCCCGTCCACCAGTCTGACCCCGTCCACCAGTCTGTCCCTGTCCCCCAGTCTGACCCCGTCCACCAGTCTGTCCCCGTCCACCAGTCTGTCCCTGTCCACCAGTCTGACCCCGTCCACCAGTCTGTCCCTGTCCACCAGTCTGTCCCTGTCCACCAGTCTGACCCCGTCTACCAGTCTGTCCCCGTC